ATCGCAGAATCATAGAATCATTTAGGTTGGAAAGGACCTTTAAAATCGTCGAGTCCAACCATTAACCTAACACTGCCAAGTCTACCACTAAACCATGTCCCTAAACACCACATCGACACGTCTTTTAAATACCCCCAGGGATGGTGACTCTAACACTTCCCATGCCATATTTGTTTTCATATTAAAAAAACTAGGCCCAAAAAATTTCCCCCTAAAAGCTAAACAAAACAAAACAAAAACTGATTTTTTTTTTCTCCATTAGTTTTAAAAATCTATTTTTGATGAGCAGTACAGGCAGACTTTTTTGTGTAATTACATTCTGCCTCTTTTATTTGATAAGAAAAAGTTGAAACATACATGTGCAAATTGAATTTTAATTCTGATATAAGAGGAAAGAAACCACATTTTACTTGCTGAAAAGTAGAGTACATACAAATACTGAGTAATTTGCTTGGGTTCCTCAGGAAAAGTAAATGTGAAATGATTGTAGCAACAGCAGCAGCAGCATGTATTTAGATAGTGGTTTTCCTATTTTGCAACCACGTGCAAACTTCTGTCATGGACTTCAGTATTATTGAACATACATAAAAATATTTTTTCTGTTTTTTTTTTTTAATGTACTGGGGTGATGACCACCTGCTCTACATGTGGTCATCTTCTGTGGCAGAATTATTCTTCTCTTGTATAAGTTTTGTATCTTCATATGTACAAGACAATGTACAATACATAATCCTAACTCCGATTGGAATTGTAAATAATTAAAAAAATAGAGTAATTTTATATTGGCTATGTTTGCACAAAAAAAAAAAAGGCATTGATTATTTGGTAATTTGGCTTCCTCTAAGTCAGCTATTTAAAAAATGAGAGCTGTATTTTAAATACATATTTTGAAATTCATATGACAAAAAGTATGTGTATAGATGGCTGAGCTTTAGTTCACAGAAACGCGAAAAAAGGAGTGAATGCAACTGTTAAACAGCTGAAAATGATAAATAATCTGACAGTTTACTTTAGACACTAATGGAGCCTAAAGGCTTTTAAAATGACAGAAATTTCACCAACTTTAGTGCTGCATAGGCTTATTTTTGTTATACAGGTTGGTCATATAGCTGGCAGTTTTCCTTTTGTGTGACTCTTGTAAATTGTTGTACTCTGTTATCTGAGTGAAAAGCTATTAGAGTTGTGTGAAGGAATACAACAACATCACTTCAGAAGACTAAAGCAGTTCCCAACTGTACATGTATACAATTTCTCCACACTTTTTTTTTTACTTTTTTTTTGGTTGACGTAACTCTCGAAGAAAATGTGCTACTATTGTGATGCACTTTAAAGCTGTATCTTATGCTATGTGAAATGTGCTTTTGCATAATCGTATTTCTTTATGGAACAGTGATTTCCATTTACTGCATCCTGGTTTATACATATTAAACTGTAGTGTGTTTGGTCCATAGTATGACATAAAGTATATTTTTATTATATTGCACCTTCTAAAATAACACAGATTGTAGAATACCCTTTAGTCACTTAGTGTCAAGTCTAATGAAATTCCTGTTTAGCATCGACTGTTTTCCTTTCAAATGTTTTGACGGTAGTCATCCCTGTTAAGTGCTTTCCGTATTAGGCTCCAGTAGCTTGGACGTAACCTGATCTGTGTTTTGTGTCAGTGTATTGTCTGCTGACCTAGAGAACACTTGCATTAGCTGCATTGATCAATCCACATCACATCTCATCATTTAGGAGACAATTAATACTGCAGCGTAAAGACTCCCCAGAGCATTTTCTTAGAGCTGGATTGCTTTACACAGAAACCACAGGAGTTGTTTGCAAAAGGGGGAGGAAGCCAAGCAGGAAGAAAAAGCATTAAGAAAGCTTTGTCTAGGAACCAAGTTTCATTTTCTGTGGTGACTTCCACTTATGTCATTTAAACTCCCTGTTTTGATGGAGTGTTTTGGGGAAAAAAAATTAGCTGTATTTTGAAGTTGATTTGTTGAAAAGACGCTATAACAGCTCACATAAATGTTCTAAAGATCTTGCTCTTAACAAATATGCATTTGATTGTGATACTTGCATAACTTGCTGTTGAGTGTAATCATTTTATCTTTATATTTTATCTCAAGGATTATTAACCTGACAGCTTTTGAAATACTGATTGACATGTTTTAATCCTAGTCGTAGTTATTTTTAAATAACATTTTAATAGAGAAAAAAATGTTTGTTTCTCATTCTGTCAGTTTTGCTGTAGAGCATCTTCCACAAAGTTGAATTTCCTTATTGCCTGATACTGTTTCTTAAAAAAAACCTCTTTGAAAGATTTTTAAGTGTACATGCACACATTAAGTTAATGAGCAGGCAGGGCTCTTAGTGTGCTGTTTCATTTTAGGTAATGAAATATTTAATCTTTAGAGATCATCCACAGAAGCAGAGGAGAAGCATTTACTAATAAAAAAAATTTTTTTTGGCAGATGACTAAGATTAGTGTACTATTCTCTGTTCAAGACTATGTAGCAGCGTTGTAAGGAGTGTATCTTAAGATGAGTTGGTAACAGTAGATATTACTAAAGACATAAAATTGATAGGAAGGGTATTTTAGGGAGGAGGTTACTTACCTCCCTGGTACATTTCTCTAACCTATGTATTGCCTGTGATTCTGTGCAGATTGTACGATGATAATGAGGCCAACTAACATGTGAACTTCAGAAATCATTGCAAACTTCTTAGTATTTACCACATCATTACATTGTAATTTTCATTTATTTAGGTAGAATGAATGAATTTTTCATCAGAAAAGTCACGTGTGATCATGTCAATAATATTTACTAGGAATACGTCAATGACAAAAAATATATTTATTTTTGTGGTAATTCCATGGCTCAAATTTGTTATTTTGCTTCCCCTCCTGTAATCTTAAAGCAAAACATGCACTGGCATCGAATAGAGTTGTGTATTTGGCATATCTTTGCATGGCAGTATTTCTGTGTTTTCAGGAATACACTAATATCATGATAGTTCATGTTATCATTTTCTTCTGTTAGTAGAACTGTTCTACTGGTATTTGAAGGTAAAAACATGGTGATGAAAAATAATTAATTTGAGTATCTTGGAAATGCACAGAATGTGTTTCTGGAAGTATGGACTGCATGAAATTTTAAAGGAATTTTACTTGGACATCTAGGTTGTCTTGTTTTGTTATTTCTGCAGAACAAAAGTAGAAACTACAATACTCCCTTCTAAGTTGCATTTTTCCAACTCCTGTTAGGTCCTGTTTTTCAAGTCAAAACTGATTTTGTGGAACCCATTTAAGTGGTTTGATACATGGAATACAGAATGTGGATTGTTTCAGTGCAGTGTCATACTTGTATCCTTAGGATTGATACTGGTTTTTTATATTCTTTGTCTAGTGAGGATGTATCAAGCTGTTACCCAATATCTAAAAAAAGCTTTTTTGCTATACAGTAAAGCCATACAAAATCATCTAAAATCACCCTAGTCACAAAAAATAAATGAAGTATTTTTCCACAATCCTGCATCCATCTTCGGCCATCCTGTAGATGTTTTTAATTAAGAAATCAAAGAAATAAGGACTGGTGTGTTTTTTGTAACACAAACAGCAAAATTTCAGTTTGGAAAAGGGTTATGTGGCAATGTAGGCTTTGTCTAAGCCTTTCTAGAGAATTGTAACTAAAGCTATGGTAGTTATTTAATGTTTGTTAGTAATCTGCATAGAATTGCAAATTCTATGAGGTAGTATACAAAAGACGAGATAAACATGGCACATCAGACTGTCTTTCTCCAGGCTACAGGGATAGGCAAGTCGTTATAAGAGTCAGTGAAATTAAAGGTGAGAGGAAGTAATGGTGATATAAGGGAGAGGGAGTGACAGCCAATACAAGTGCTTCAGACTGGAGAGGAGAATTAAGCAAAATGATACAAAGCAGAATAGAACGATTAGAACTGAAAACGAGGCAAAACTGAAATGACAAATGGAGGATTATACTTCACTGCAGAGTTTGGCAATGAGGAATATGTTCAAGGACTGTTTTTCTTAAGCATCTGTCCTATCTTTTCAGATGAGTATGGTGGGAAAGTGTCCCCTCCTCTGCTTTATTGCGACCAAAGGCCTAGTATTCTTACACATAGAATAAATACGTATTTCACCTATCAGACCTATTTGACAAGTGTATAGTATTTTCTCATGACCTTAGAACATGGATGCTTAGAAGGTAGTCACGTGGGGTCTAGATATCCTGCATGAGCGATATTTAGCATAACTCTAAACAGAAGTTCTTGAAATGTAATTCGTGGGGTATTGACTATTTATTTGGTACAAGCTTTCCTAATTTCCAGCTGCTAAATCACATTGAAGACAGCTTAAACTCCATGTATTCAGTAAATAATTGCAGTTACTGCAGGGATGTTGTGAGGTAGGAATGTTAGAAAAGACAAAGTGGATATTCAAATATATGAGATCAGTTGGCCTTGAAAGGTCTTGCCATAACAACTTGCAGATGTTTTAAGAAATGATATAATAACGTCTACACTAAATTAATGTATTTGCAGTTCAGGTGTTCATTACAGAAGCTTATTCCAAGTGTCTCTATAATACTGGCTATTATGTTCAACCTTGTGTTGCCTAGAAGTTGTACAATATTTCAGAATAATCTAGAACTAGGCCAAAATCATTTAAAAGACATGTATTCTGCACACACTTACCGTATTTGCTAATATTTCCAACAAAACCTAATGGGTTTTGTTCTTTTTTTTTTTCCCCTTCTAACTTACATTATCCAGATTGGCTGGGAAAGTTATGTGTTTGTAGGATCTACACAAATAGTTGTTTAAAACATCTTCAGATCATCAGTATGTTATCTTTTGGAAATCTCTCCTTTCGTTTGTGTGTTTATGGAGGTATTACTAGCTGGTTTTGCAAGGTTGCTTTTGATGCATCTGTATGCCATAATTGAAGGATCCACTTTATTCAGATCAACTTTTGGTATTTGCAGGTACTACAGAGCGGGTGTGTCTGATCCAGGGAACAGTTGAAGCACTAAATGCAGTTCATGGCTTCATTGCAGAGAAGATTCGAGAAATGCCTCAAAATGTGGCCAAGACAGAGCCTGTCAGCATTCTACAGCCTCAGACCACTGTTAATCCAGACCGCATCAAACAAGTGAGTTTTTGGTTGGGAATAGAGAGTCACAGCAGCTCCTTAGAAGTCTTAAAGCTTTAAGGCTGCAAGGGGTCAACATAACATGTTCTTTAAGAAAATGTTGTTTTAACCTTTAGTAATTTGCTGGTCCTCTTTTTCCTTATACTTATGTGTTCCATGTTTCTCAGCAGTTCTTTTAGACAGTGTTTTATAAGTTTCAATGTCATACTCTAATGTGTTTCTTTCATAAATTTTCCCTTACTGTGTAAGGTGATAATACACTTCTAGGTTTTAGTTAAAGATCACTGAATTTTAATCTTAAACGATCAACCTCTTTGTAAATCTTTAGCGTTACTGAAAATCACAGATTAACTGAATGTTTCGTACTTTTATGTATATAAAATAAAAACAAAAATGTTAATTGTTTTTTTTAGACCCTATATTAGATACTTTAAAATCTTACCTGTAAGAACTTGAAAATATAATTTACTTGGGATGTTTTCTACAATTTCATTTTACGTTATTTTTGGCATCTTTTTGCCTGTTTTGCACTGACTTCTTTTAAAATCTATGGGCAATGCAAAATATATTTGCAAGGTATTATTGGTCTAGTATTATTTAGTTCATTACATTTTCCAGAACAATTTTAATTTAAAAAAATTGCCCTGTAAAGAGAATGTGAAATATGTGTCATACAGGATTTTAAATTAGTTTCCATTGTATTGAATAAGAAAAAGATGAAGAAAGAAATGAGTGAACATTAGTAAAATTTTGTCTTGTCTCTCTATCCTATATAGGATAGATTTTAGTTTCTCACCTGTCCTATATGGGAAAAGATTGTTTCGTCCTTCTACACTAGCAAGATTCAGTGTCCTATAAAGTAATTTGGTAACTGTATGCAATTACTTTACTTTGTATATAGTGGCATACACAGAATGCTTTTGTGAAGATGTGTTTGAACAGGATGAGTTTGGAACAATCAGACTGCTTTAGATGGATGAAACTGTGCATAAACCATTGTATATGATTTCTAATATTTACTACTATATTTTTTCCTGTATATGCAATACTTTTACATAAAAAATACTCTAGATAATTTATAAGAAAATACTAAAAAGAAAAGCCCCAATGTTATAGGATTAGTTTCTCAATTATTAGACATGAAAACTATTATGCCTGAGATAGAGAGAAAAAGCTGAAGAGATCTGTATTTTGAATGGCTTTTATGCTTGTAAAATGTTAGATTTTATGCCAATACTTCTTAACCCAATGGGAAATGAGTGTTCTCTATTACAATGAAAAGTCTTTTTCCCCTTTGCAATGAAATGAAGCTAATTTTTAGGTAAGTCAGTAAGATCCTGAGAAACTAGATTACAGAGCGGTTTAGTGACATACCTAAATACTTCCTGTCTTGTATCTGAAGTTGATATAGCTTGTCCCCAGTATTTCTCCGGAAAACTTACTTGTAAAGTTGGTGAGGGGTTTTTTTTTTTCCAATTTGTTTTTGGTTTTGGTTTTTAGTTTGGTTGGTTGGTTGGTTTGGGGTTTGTTGTTTTTTTTAAACACAATTTCATGTTTGGAATGTGAAATTAAATTCTGGAGGGATGGATTAGTGAACAGAGCTGCTGCTAGTGAAGTTAATACACAGACTAAATACAATGTATAACTTATAAGACTGTGATTTGTTGACTGGCTCTGCATCTTAAAATTTAAATATATTACCTGTATACATACAGGTGCATAATAATGTGAATGCAAACATTTGGAGATATGCATGCGCATATGTTGAGCAGTTTTAACCACAATGAATTATTTAACTTTTCTTTTAATGAAGCAACATCTATTCATGATAAATTCATACACTATAAATATTGACTCAATAAATCTAAAATCCATTATTTTTACCAAGAAATGAAATTGTTAGCTTAGTTCTTAGATAGTTAGTAGTAGTGAAGTAATCTATCCTCCAATGTCAGAATATCCTGTATCTTAATGAAAGATACAATATCTCCATTTAAGAAATTAAAAGGATAGTATTTTATAACAGGTAATCGTGATCTAGAACTTCAAGTGTTGCTTTTTTTTTATAGTAGACATCACAATTTTATCAAAATGATCAGGATAATATATACTACAAGTCATTTTGAACTTGGCAAAAATTAAGCCTTTTGAATTACAATTTTTTCTTTTACACAAACTTCTACATGGTTCTTCCTGTCTTAGAGTATTACCCAAGAACTTTGGCACCCAAACTATTACGTTGCAGATTGAAGAAAGTAGACTTAGCATTTGAGATCGAGAGTTGATTTGAAATAATAAATTTTACTTTCATTAGGAACTTTGAAGATATTTCTGTTGGTTTTCTAGCTGTTTCTACCAAAAAGCAAAGGTGGTTTTCTCCCCATGAATGAAGATACCTGTAGTTGAAGCCTTGCAATGCCACCCATGTCTAGATGAGCATGCAGCTCTCATTTCTCTATTGTCATTTTTTTTTGTCCTGGGCTACTTTACCAACGCTCGCCTCAGAGAAGCAAGCTAAGAAAGGAAATATCTTCTGGCTACAGTTTCAATGAAGAAAGTCAGTAGGTAAACCCTTTGCTGACTGCTTGAGTTTCAGCACTTTCTGTCTTCAGGAAAGGCATGGGTATACATGGAGGCTGAGTCTGGCCTGGCATTTCTCCTTACTAATGGAAGTCACTATCCAAACATTCTGGTCTCTCTAACTTCAGCTTTTTCAGCTTCAGAAGATTTGCAAACAAGTCTATCTGGTTCCTTTTGAGCCTTCTCCACTGCATTTTTCCACATCTCCTAATCCTGTGGACTTACCAGTAGATACCAGGTAGTTCTCTCCTCCAAGCAGGTCTGATAGATAATTAATTGACAAATGTTTGCATCTTTTATCTCTATGTAACATAGGCAATCTCTTCATAGATGTCAGCCATCTGTTGTTTCTAGGTATCATTCCACAATAACCAGCTGATTCCTGTGCCCTTTTACTTCCTAGAAACTGCTATGAGCATCTAACCTCCCTTTTCTCTCTTTATTACTTGAAGTGTCACACCAACTCTTTCAGACCATATTGTAACCCAGGGGAAGAGAATACAGTTTTCATAAAGTGATCAGGAGCCTGAGCTGTTTCGGCTTTGTAATTAGCATACAAAGCTTTAAATTTCGCCTCTAAGTTAACAGCAGCTCCTATGAACAATGGAAAAGGCTGCATCACCTTCTTCAGAAACTGTTGCTGCTTCTTTGTATGCTAGTTGAATTTTCCTTCCAGCTTTCAGTTGTTTTACAGGTAGCAGGTGTTGTAGCAGTCTGTCCAGGAAGCACATGGAATCAGAGGTGGCCGCTGCAGAACTGTGCATTATATAGAAGGAAAGATGTGCGATCTTGTAGCTAGCTCTGCTTTAAGCAGGAGTTTGCACTGTTTGGCCTTCTGAGATGCCTTCCAGCCTGAATCATTCTTTGATTCTATGGAATGCTTAGCTATCGAAGCATGGGCAAAGGTTTTAGAATTTCTTCCTTGAAAATCTAGAGTAAAACTTTCACATATAGAACTTCCAATTAATGTTTTCATTGGAGCCAGTTTCATTTCAGCTTTTTCAGTAGATAATTAACCTCTCATGAGTCTTTAACTTCTGTTCATTAATCATAGTCCCAGACATTGTATTCAAAATCTGCAAAACTGAATGTCTGAACACAGATCTTTAAATTCACATTCTTCTAGTGAAAATGACTACTTTTACTTCAGAAATGCGGATCAACAACAAAAAAAAAGTTCATAATTTTTAATTAAAAAGTTTTACCTTGAAGTGCTTAAATAGAACCTGACTTTAAGAATACAGATCTGAAAATATTTGCTTAAATGGAGGATTTTTTTTTTTTAAATATGGGATATGAGTTCTTCAGACTATAACGATTCAGTAGACTTCATAGAATCATAGAATGGTTTGGATTGGAAGAGGCCTTTAAAGATCATCTAGTTCCAACCCCCCCCCGCCATGGGCAGGGATACCTTCCACTAGATCAGGTTGCTCAAAGCCTCATCCAACCTGGCCTTGAACACTTCCAGTGAGGGGGCATCCACAATTTCTCTGGGCAACTTGTTCCAGTGTCTCACCACCCTCACAGTAAAAAAAATTCTCCCTAATATCTAATCTAAATCTACCCTCTTTCAGTTTAAAACTGTTACCCCTCATCCTATCACTACAGTCCCTGATAAAAAGTCCCTCCCCATCTTTCCCGTAGGCCCCCTTTAGGTACTGGAAGGCCACTATAAGGTCTCCCTGGAGCCTTCTCTTCTCCAGGCTAAACAACCCCAGATCTCTCAGCCACTCCTCATAGGGGAGGTGCTCCAGCACCCTGATCATCTTCGTGGCCCTCCTCTGGACCCGCTTGAGCAGGTCCATGTCTTTCTTATGCTGGGGGCACCAGAGCTGGATGCAGTCAGTACTCCAGGTGGAGTCTCACAAGAGCGGAGTAGAGGGGGTGAATCACCTCTCAACCTCCTAGCCACACTTCTTTTGATGCAGCCCAGGATACGATTGGCTTCCTGGGCTGCGAGCACACATTTTCAGCTCATATTCAGTTTTTCATCCACCAATACCCCCAAGTCCTTCCTTCCTTAAGAAACCTTCATTGGTTTCTTAAAATGCCTTCATCCCTTCTGATGAGCCTTTCTTCTTTTTAACATCCATTTAAGGCAACGGTCTATCACCTAGATGAACCTTTCTGAACTCCAGAATATGAGAAAATAACTCTACATTTTTCATTTGAGGTAAATAATAATAACTAGTTTTGTAAATCACTGTGTCTCTTCATCTAGTCAACAAATTTTTCATAAACTTTTCTCACTTTGAACGTAGGTGAAGATTCGCACCAGTTACCATTCTACAATGAATAATATGATATGCAGGTGTTTACAAGTTGTGAGGACAAAAAAAATCCCAAACCATTATTTACTAGAGAGACAGTTCTATACATTAGATCCCATGGCAAAAGTTTAGCATTCCATAAAAATA